ACAAGAATTTAACATGATTGCGACTACAAGTTCAGTAAGAGTCTTATTCTTTCTTTCTGTTTTACCATTCATTTCAGGAGAGTATGGAGCAGTCGTTTCATGTATAATACCATGTTCAGCATAAAAATCATTAAACAAGCTAGAGTCATATTCGGTTCCCCTATCACTGCGAAGTCTCTTAATCTTCTTGTTAAATTGATTCTCAATTTCAGTTACATACACCTTAAACATGTCAAGCGCTTCACTTTTATTCTTCATTAGATATACATAAGTATAATCAGAGCAATCGTCAATAAAAGTGATAAAATAACGTTTATTATTTCTAGTTAAACTTCCATCTAATTCACATATATCAGAGTGTATAAGATCTAGGGGATCAGATTCTTTTATAATTGATTTATGTGAAGTCTTTGTTATTTTTGCTTGACTGCAAAATTCACATTTATTAGAATCATTGACATTTAGTTTAGGGATTAGGCCTATGTTGCTTGCATTAGAAATGATTTGTTTATTAACGTGACAAAGTCTACCATGTCAAATATTAAAGTCACACAAAGAGTAAACAGAAGGAGAAATTTTATTCAAATCAACATTCAACTTAAACATGCCATCAGTGGCGTACCCTTTTCCTACAAAAATACCATTCTTAGTGATGGTGTACAAATCTGCCCCTAAAGTTTGACTAAACCCAGCCTTATTCAAAAGAAAACCAGAAACAAGATTCTTCCTAATTTCAGGAACATGCATGACGTCCTTCAAGATCAAGGTCTTTCCTGAAGTGAACTTCAGCTCAACGTCTCTAATTCCAGCAACATTAGTGGTGTGAGCATCTCCCAACAGTACTTTCTTATCTTCAGCATTCATGTATGTCTTGAACATAGCACGATCATAGCAGACATGACGAGTGGCGCCAGTGTCTATCCACCAACCATCACTTCCACCAACCATGTTGATTTCAGTGATCATGGCAATGAGTTGCTCATCAGTCAGGTTAACCTGAGCATTTGAGCCAGCTGCAGGTTTAGGCCTGCTCCTACATTTCTTTGCCATATGGCCCGGTTTCCCACAGTTGTAGCAAGAGAAAACCGGAGCATCATTTCTTTAAGGTGGTGGCTGTTGCCTAGCAAATGGAGCCGATGGGGCCCTAGAGGGATTCCCATTCTTAGTTCGTTTCATAGCATTGCGGTTCTGATTCTTTAAAGGTTTGCCCGTAGGCTTCAGAACCGCATCGAATTTCTTTTTGTTGTTAGACACAACTAAGACTTCTTCTTTCTGATCTTGTTTCCGAGCCTCCTCTTCAATTCGGAGGCGAGTAATCAGACTCTCGATTGAAAATTCTCTTGTTTTGTGACGAAGCATATTTTTGAAATCTTTCCAACCAGGGGGCAATTTGTCAATAATTACAGCAATTTGAAATTGTTCATTGAGGGGCATACCTTCTGTAATAATCTCATGAGCAATCTTCTGAATTTCGTGGCTTTGAGCTTCCACCGACTTCTCATCCACCATCTTGTAGTTCAAGTAGCGGCTGACAGCAAATTTCTTCGCACCTACTTCTTCAGTATCATATTTTCTTTGCAGAGCCTCCCATACCTGTTTAGCAGTCCTGTAGCTACTATAGTAGTCGTACAGATCATCAGTAAGGTTGTTCAGAATGTGATTTTTGCACAGATAATCATTCTCGTGCCATAAGGCGATTTCTTTTCGGAGCTGTAGATCATCTGCTGCAGCCTTAGCTTTTGCAGCATCTGAGTCAGACGTTTTGGAAGTCCCGTCTGAATCTGCAAGTGAGTTACCATTAGGTAGTTCAGATGATGCAGAAGGGACAATTGGGATATCCTCAGTCAGAACGTGGGCAACCTTTTTCAGAGTTAAGAAAAACTTCATCTTAGCTTGCCAACGTTTGAAATTGGAACCCTCAAACCTGAAAGGTTTGTCAGAGACCGAAGCGGCCGCAGTAGTACCGATAATTTCCTCAGTTGCCATGGCAGTTATTAAAACGTCTTAAAATTGTTGTTTTTGGATTTGAAAAATTGAGTTTGGCACAAGGAAATTATCGGGACGAATCGCGTACTAGGTCGCTTTCTTTAACACGTTTCGCCGTACTGCCAAAATATGCAAAGTAGTCGATTTACAACGATGTCTCCCGGATAAAACAGCCCGTTCAATAACGTACGATTGATAAATCGCTCTAGAAATAGACCTTTCTAAGTCACAGTATCTGGCGAAAATAGCCAGTCGAAAAAACAAGAAGAAACAAGAAAAGAAGGATTTGTAGACGAAGAGAATTAAGGGAGAGAAGATGGAAATCAAAATTCGTGTGAACTTTTTTGAAATCCGCTACTACACTACTGAACTTCTACCCTGTATTTATAGGCAGCTAGTAAGGCTGAGTAGGGAGAAATTCGTGGTGAATGGAGAAAATCGTAGGAGAATGGGAAAATACTGGATCTAGTCAATATGGCAGTTACTGACCAATTATTTTCTTAATTAATTAATATTTATTATTAATTAATTTTCCATCGAATTATATTAATTAATTAATGATAATTAAATTCTATAAATTCGGGTCCAAAAATTAATTCATCTAGACCGGACCGGATGACGGTGGTGCGCGCGTGTGTCTTGATGGTCATGGGTGTGTCCTCACTCCTTTCACAAAATTGGGTGCCCTTTAGGGCCCAACCCAATTGACCATGTTGGAATATATAGACACTACTAATATTTTCATTCCCTTCAATGTGAGACTAAAATGAATCTTTTCAAATTCACTTCTATATTAGTTCTTACTTGTGTTCATTTATTGCCCATTAATTGTCAATAAATCTTTCCAATTCCCACTCTAATTAATATAATTCCTACAAATACTCTCTCACATAAACCATGAAACGAAACAGTTTAACATAAGTAACAACGAAACACATTAACCTGTTACATGAAACATTTGTCTAAGAAATTGTGCTTATCGTCTGGATATTCATCTTGAGGCCATTTCTACTTGCCACATAAAATCCTACATATAAAACTCTACATATAAATTAGTTTGCTTACAGTCTGGCTATTCATCTTGAGTTCACTTCTACTTGCCATATAAAACCCTACATGCTTTTATATTTGTTAAATTTATAGCTATTGGGTATGATCCTTCATATTCATATGTTTCTCATTTAAGCCCACTGGTAGTTGCATACTTTCCATCTTATGCTTTTACATCCATAAAAAAAAATTGTCATAATTTCTATAAGGTCATATTACATAACATTAGTTTTACATAAAAATAGTATACTTAATTTTTATTAATTACTATATCAATAGATGCAAAATACTATTTTATTCTTAAAATAAAAGGTTAAATATGTTCTCGGTCTTCCTAAATATCTCAAATTTTGGTTTTAGTCCATCAAAATATTTTCTTCAAAGAATGATCGTTCTAAAATTTTTCATCCACACTTTTGGTCTCTTTTGCAACTTAGCGACCGTTTATTACTTGACGACTGAATTCAAAACAGTTTTAGCGACAATATTAGTATTAGGGACCAAAAGTGAGGATGAAAATTTTTAGGAGGATCATTCTTTAAATGAAATATTTTGAGGAAATAAAAACGAAATTTGAGATATTTAGGAGGACCACAAACATATTTAACCCTAAAATAAATTAGCTTATTTTCATCTCATTTAATATTTTATTATTTTAGACTATTTTATTATAATATATAATGTTACAATTTATATTTTATAACATTATATCTATTTTTTTTCCCGTGCATCGCACGGGTACTCCGACTAGTGTGTATATATATATATATATATATATATATATATATATATATATATATATATATATATATATATATATATATATATATATATATATATATATATATATATATATATATATATATATATATATATATATATATATATATATATATATATATATATATATATATATATATATATATATATATATATATATATATATCCTTTGAGAATATTATTTTTCTATGTGAAAATATGAGAATGAATTTGAACTATTAGATTAAAATAAAGGGTTGAGATTAAAACATCATTTATGTTAGTCATGTGCCATTATCATTCTCATTTAACTCTCTCTCTCCCCCACTATCAGAATTCTTTAGTGTTGTTTATCTTTTTTCTCGTGTTTCTCTTTGCCTTCTGCGAGCTTTCTAATTGTGAGACTTCTCATTTTCGATGTCGTTTTCTTTCTCTTTTTGTCGGCCTATTTTTCTATTCTTAATCTATTTAGATTGTTGAACCATACGTTATTATTCATGACTATGTTTCATTTTCTTATTAATCATGACTTTGTTTTTGTTGACATTGCAACTCTATTTTCTATCTAATTTATATTTTTTTACATGACTCTCTTCATGCATTTTCACACATGTTACGCCACTGTTCCGTTGCAGAACTAAAAATGGAGAAGATTACAGAAGTTGTGGTGGAAAGAAGCTTCGTAAGCGATTTAGTGATGCGGTTTCTCGGACCGAAAGTTGAGATCATGACGCATCTTGAATCAGAGTCGTTGATCTTGAACTGATGTTGCTAATCTTCGGCACAATAGATCTAGAGGGTGCCTGTATGGTTAGCACTTCAACACCTAAGTCAATTTAGAATTCAAGATAATCGTAGTGTGAATGGAGATTAGAGATTTCGTAACTAAAACTCTCTTGAAAATTTATTTATATCTTGGTCCCCATGGAGCGGGTAAGATGAATGAGTCTCATCTTATTGGGCATTTGACCAGCCTAGAACAACGAGCAACGATAAAATTCATCATAAAACTAAACTAAGCGGTTGATATACTATACTACCATCACATTTATGTATATTTCATTTCAATAAAATAAATATTATATCTCTTTCAAATAATAATAAAAAATTGATCAAATAATTTAGTGGTTGAAATTCACCCACATGTTAAATAGAGAGATTAAAAATGCATTTAAATATTTCCAACTCCTTAATTTTTCTAGACACTAGTCCTTGCGGTTCCTGCGTCGTAAACCAATGGACATGCGCCAATAGTCAAGAAGTTGGTCCGGGATAAAGCGAGCAAAGGCCCATTGAATTGAGTGAGCCCAATAAGGTGTGCATCTTGGTTCATACCCTATTTTACGAATAGCTGCTCTAGCATAACCTTCTGGTGTTGGTATGAATAAAGAATCTCTTCCAATTGATGCTACTCTTGATACCATCTTCGTCGCAACATACAGTGGTACCTTCATTCCATGCCAATATTGTCAACAATAACTAAGGAAAATTTTGGATTACCTAAATTGGATTATCAACAATAATTAGTAATTAAACTTAAAAACAAAATATCTTTACCTGACATTGCACGTGAATTCCATATTGTTTGTACTCCATGTGTAAAGATCTTGAAAATTGATCTACATAACTGCATGAAATTTGTTTTGTTAAATATTCCTTTTTTTATAAAATATTATTATTTACAATTATTAACTAAAAATATTTATTTAAAGTAATATTTAAATTAAATACATTGATAATTTGATCAATTTTAAAAATCATTTTTTATAATAAAATTTAGAAAAAGTATTAATATTTTTATTTAAAATAAATAGGTATACTACTAAAGTTTAATTAGATAACTATATGTATTTTTACATTTTCTTATATTAGTAAATATAAAATGAATAGTTTTGATTAAAAAATTAAAAATGATGCCAGCATTTAATATAAAAATATCAACCAAAAACAAAGACATGGTACCAGCTTTTAATATTAAAATATCAAATTTATTTTAAATGTAAGTTAATAAATTAATATTTTATTGACATCAATTTCCTTCATCTTAATGCCTTGCTCTTTTATAAATTTTAAAAAATAAATAAATAAGCACCTTGTGAAATAAAATTTTATAATTTTATAATGTGTGTTCAGAGCACAATTGTTAGCACACATTTAATTATAGTTTTGTTTACAAATTCATTTAATAATAGTTACTTATAAATATATTGCTGCGACAAACGTTGCACTATAAACGAATAAAACTATAAGAAACTTTTTTTAAAAAAAATTATGAAAGAAAGAAAAGAGGTAAGAGAGAAGAAGAAAAATAAGAATTGGTAAAAATAGTTTTTCTATTCACTTTTTTAATTAGGACAAAAAGTTATAAATAAATAACAACAACCAACGCTTAACCTTCTCTCAATAATCTAAGAGAACAATCTATTTATAGACTACAAATGAACTTAACCGACAAGCTAATTTAACCAACAAGCTAACTTAACCAACAAGTTAACTTAACCAACTGCATATTAGAACAAACTTCGATTATATCATGCACATCTTCGACTGCTGCATGCTTGAATAGACTTCAACTATAGCATGCACGACTTCTGTCGAAACTTGAAGCTATCCATGTCGAGACTAGAGTTTGATCCAAAAATACCACAAATCTCCACCTTCGAACAAATCTTACAACATTAAGGGAACAAACTAGCTTTCATCATGAAACTTTATCAAAATTGTGATCTTATCGAAACCTTCATCACTTTGACTTCTTCACTTTCGATTTTCTGCATGGCGAAATGCAACCAAACATCAATGTGTTTTGTTCTCTCATGATAGGCTGAATTATTCGACAGATGTATGACATTTTGACTATCACATTTAACAGTGATAACTAGACCTTGAAGTTTCAGTTTTTGTTAGATGCACAACTTTGCTTATTTGACCTATCAAATGTTGGCATCTTTCATTCTTTTTGTAGAGAAAGTGTTTAGAATCATTCTTGTTTTTGATGATATGCTTCATTATGTGAAAATGTCTTGGTTACTTTGATTTGTGTGCTATTGTGCAGGAATTAGGCACAAAATAAGTGAAGAGTAAGACACAAGAAATTGAGCAAGGAAATCAAGACAGCAGAAAAACATCATAAAACTCGTCATGCGAAGCTCCCAGCAAACTTCCCCAGAAAAATCATCACCAACTTTGCACAGCGAACTTGCCAGCGAAGACCCTTGGGAATTGGATACTGTTCACTCAGAGAGAAAAGAGACTAAAACTCGATGTGCAAAGAAGCTAGCGAAGGCTTCGCAGTGCGAAGAATTGCTCGCACAACGAACTTTAGATATTTCTCAAGAACAGATTAACTGTTCAGAGGCCCCTCAGGTGCCTAATTTGATGTTCGTTTGGCGACGGATCTGTTCGCAGTGCAAACAAGACAGATCCTGAATGTACTATATAAGTAATTTTCTTGCTTTTTAGGTAAAAAAAGATTACATTTTTTACATCAGAACTTATCTCTCTTCATTTCAAGTTTATTTTAGAGAGAGAAATACAAAATTCTAAGAGGGAGGAGGTAAGATCTTTGATCTCTTGTTGGAGTTTGGATGTAATCTTTTGATACCTTATGTATTTCATCTAACATATGTTTGTGAACTAGTTTTAATTCTCTATTGATTGATTGTCTTTGATTTCTTTTGTGGGTCTTGACAAAACCTTTTCACATCTTTGATCTAAGATTTTCATCTATCAATGAACAAACTTTTGACATGGTTTTGTAAGTTGATATGCATTGTATCTTCTATTGTATTGTGTTGATTAAGTAACATGAGTAGGATCAATATAATATTGTACGGATGCGTGATAATAATGATGAAGAACGATGTTCACATACATTTGGCAGATTAGATGAATACATGTAAAAAGGGTTAAGTGTATGTACGTATTATGTTCATTACGTTTTATATGAAACAATCTATCCGATATGAGTGTCGTCTTTGTTTACCTGTTTATCTTTGATTTGAACCGCTATAGACATATACTCTTCAGATCTAGATCTAGGATGATTACCTGTTAGGTCCTAAACTCTAGACATAGATTTGGGCTTAGCATTTGCGTGAGTATCAGTTCTTAGTGCTCTGTGTTGTGTTTTTGTTACGTGAGACATCACCAATGAGACGACACGGTTGTTCTCTCGATGTTGCGTTAGAGATGACCTCTATCGTGGGTGATACGTGAGGATATTAGACGAATGATTGAGTTATGTTTAACATGATCAGAAGGATGCATGTGTTATCAATTGATGAGATTCAATCCTAACAAGGCTCTGTTTATATTTAAGTCTTTACTTTATACTTTCCGTCTTTATATTTTTTGCCTTTTATTCATGGTTTCTTGAACCTTTTAAACCAGACCTTTTGAACAACAAGCTTGGAAATATAGAGACCGTTGAACGGCGTTCTTTCATCGCACCAATCCCTGTGTATACGATATAAATCCCAGAGGGAATTCCTTCAAAACTAAATTTTTGCTTCTTGCCGCTTTACTGCAGCTCTAACAGTTTCTTAATAAACCTCTAAGCCATAATGATTCTTTCACAGCTTCAGTGAGGCTAGTATACTCGACTTTAGTGGTTGATAAGGCAACAACCTTCTGAAGAGAAGTTTTCCAGCTGATTGTTGTGTCAAACATTGTGAAAACATATCCAAAAATAGATTTTCTGGTATCCATACATCATGCATAGTCAGACTCGATAAATCTTTCGAATTAGGCTTTGCCATCACTCATGGCTCCACCATAAACTATGACCTTACTCAAGGAACCTTTTATGTATCTCAAAACCTACTTCAAAGCTTGTCGGTGGGCCTTCCCATAATTGGTCATATACCTGCTTACAAGGCTCACTTTGTACATTATGTCTGGCCTCATACAAACCATAACATACATCAAGGAACCTTTTATGTATCTCAGAACCTACTTCAAAGCTTGTCGGTGGGCCTTCCCAGAATTGGTCATATACCTGCTTACAAGGCTCACTCCGTACATTATGCCTGGCCTCGTACAAACCATAACATACATCAAAGAGCCTATTATACTAGCATACAAAATGTTATTCATATAAGTTCTTTCAACTTCAGTACTAGGACTTTGAGTCATACACTACTTGAATTGAGGACTTATTGGTGTTACAACAAGCTTTGAATTTGACATATCAAATTTTTCAGGAATCTTCTTCAGGTATGTCTCTTGAGATAAGCATAATCTCGGCTGCTTTCTATCTCTTTGGATGTCAATCCTAAAAATCCTGGTGGCAGCTCTCAAATCCTTCATGTCAAACTCCTTATCGAGTTCACCATTCACCTTCTTTACATCCTCGACATTGTTGCTTGCTATGAGAATGTCATCCACATAAATCAACAAAATACTAAGTGAACTTCCAGGTCAAAACCTGAATTCAACACAGGGGTCGAGTTGGTTCTTAGTGAAACCTATGTGTGTCATGAACTTATCGAATCTCCTGTTCCATTGTCAAGGAGATTGTTTCAGACCATATAAAAACCTATTCAACTTGCACACATAATCTTCCTTCCCTCTTTCTATATACCCTTTAGGTTGTCTCACCAAGATTATTTCATCTAGATCACCATACATAAAGGTTGTCTTTACATACATCTATTCAAGTTCTAAGTCGAACTTTACCACCATGGCTAACACCATTATAATGGATTTGTGTTTTACAATAGGTGAGAACGCATCATTAAAGTATACTTCTTATTTATGAGTAAATCCCCTAACAACCAACCTTGCCTTAAATCTCTTCAACATTGCTCCTTTGATTCTTTCCTTAATATTGAAAATCCACTTACAACTGACTAACCTAACTCTAGCAGGTTTGTCGATCAGCTCCCAAGTGTGGTTATCATGAAAAATTTCATTTCATCACCTATGACTTTCAGCCATTCAATCTTGTTTCGACTCCTTACAGCTTCCTTGTAATATTTAGGTTCTTCATCAAGAACCTCACTTGCAGAGATTAAGGCAAAAGCTATGAGATATGCATAACCAAGTCTCTGAGGTGGCTTGATGACTCTTTTCATCCTCTATCTTGCTAACATGTAGTCATTATCAATCTCCTCATCTTCATCAGCAACTTGTGTTTCTTCTTCCACTTCATCTGGGTTATGCAATTCAACATCAACATGCTCTACCTCATCAAGAAACTCCTCATATTCCAGCTCTTCTACAAAGATTTTCATATTTTGACCAACATCGTCAATTTTTTGAATGTTAATTTGATTCATTGAAAAATACATCTCGACTTGTGATACACCTCTTGTGATCTGACTCTAGGCACTACAGCCTATAAGCTTTGCTCCTTCAAGGTATCCAAAAAACATACGTCTCAGAAGAATACAAAAAATATGACCTCTACCTCGGTAAGGTGGCGCAAGAACAACTTTTTGTACAGTGAAGTTGACCATTCCTTCATGTGGATGTTGGGATATTGTTGTTGGAACATGTTTCCAAGAATGTCCCTCAATGGATCTATTCTCTCGAGCTCTATAAATTGAAGATCAAGAAGCTTGAAGAATTATAGCTGATTGCTGGTGATAGCACGCTAATATGCAAAGCCAAAGTGCTGAAAAA